TCATCAATGACCAGGTAATATTTTTACATATGTTGCCATATTGCCAAAAATAAGGTGAATTTTAACTGTTCGTTATACTGTATTAAAATTGAAGACAGGTGTGGTGCAAGCTTTCCTGACAATGTTTTGCTCTGTGTAGAGCTTTACCAAGTCGGTGGCTTAATGAAGCTCTACACAGTAAAATATGACAAAGGAAGGTCTACATGTAATAAAACTATACGATAAAAGCTTTCACTGCACATAGGTCTTTTCTGTATTACTGTTAGGAAGTTTGCCTATTTTTTTTTCTTTATATCCTGTAATAAAAATATTTTCTGCATAGTGTCATATGTTAAGTAATGTTTTAATACATTGTATCTTTTATATATTTAAAATAACAGTGGACTTATTATTAAACACAGTATATTCAGTATACAGTAGTAAAATTACAATTGGTGCCTGCTAAAAAAAAAAAAAAAAAAAAAAAAAAAAAATGAATTTTTTCTTTGCCATTGAATTTTGAATTGCACTAAATTAGACATTTTATTAGAGTTGAGAAGTGAGCAACGATACATGCTTCTACATACTTAAATTACTGTAATTTTACATAAATAGAATTTCAATAATTTGGTATGTAACTTTTATCGAGTGTATAGTAGTATAGAGTCATATATTTGTTATTGATTGCTAGAGTCAGTATTCACAGTATTTAATAATTACAAAAAAGTTAATTAAAAATAAAACAATTATTGTTATGTTTAATTCAGTAATTTTTTTAACTATGTTCAATTCAGTAAAACATTTTAAATCTTTTTTATTTGGTGGAAATGCGTGCGGGCCATTGTGTATTTATGAAGGAAAGTCCTATGCTGATACTAATTGATAAATAAATAATTATAATTTGGTTAATGGTCAAATTAATCAAGGACTTCATAATGTCTTATTTTTGTTTAGAATTATAATTAAAAGCATAGGTTCGTATTTACCTTTTTCATAGCCTGCCTATGTCCTTTACTTGTGGCTACAGTAAGTAATCTCCCATGATGTTGCCTCTGATAGGGAGGATCATCATTTATGTACCTGACTGGTTCAGTAGTCATTATGAGACAGGCACTGAGAGATTTATGAAATACACACACAGTATTGACCTTTAAGTTCAAAGCTAACTGCAAA